TTAGTTTCTTTTTCAGATTGTTCATTGCAGGTATAGAAACACATCTGATTTTTGCATGTTGATCTCATACCCTGAATCTTTGCTGATTTAGTTTATTAGCTCCAGTAGTATTTTTGTGGATCACTGGACTTTTCTGTATATAAGATTATATCATCTGTGAATATAGTTTCACTCCTTCCTTTCCAATTTCAAAGCCTTTTAATTATTTTTCTTGACTAATTGCTCTGGCTCGATCTCCAGTACAGTGTTGAATAGCAGTGGTGCAAATGGGCATCCTTGTTTTGGTGTTGATCACAGAGGTAAAGTTTATAGTCTTTCACCATTGAGGATGACATTAACTGTGGGTTTTTCATGAATGTTTGTTATGTGTGGAAGTGCCCTTCTCTTCCTAGTTTTCTGAGTGGTTTTATCATGAGAGCAAATGACTTTCTTACATCAATTGAAAGAATTTTTTTTTTCCCCTGCACCTATATTCTGTTACTGGAGAAGGAAATGGCAATCCACTCCAGTATTCTTGCCTGGAGAATCCCATGGACAGAGGAGCCCCGCAGGCTGCAGTCCACAGGGTCACAAGAGTCGGACACAACTTGGTGATTAAACCACCACCACCACCATGTCTGTTAATGTGGTGATTAACATTGATTGATTTTATGTTGGACAACTGTGGCATTCCTGGGATAAATCCCACTCGGTCATGGCATATAATTCTCTTAGCATGCTGAGAGACTTGTTTTGCTAGTATTTTGTTGAGGATTTTTGTTATAAATAATTCTGATAACAGAATTATGTCTGTTCATAAAGGATACTGGTGTCTTTGTCTGCCTTTGTTAGCAGAGTAATACTGGCCTCATGAGTTAGGAAGTGTTCCCTCCGTTCCTGATTTTTTTTGGAAAGAGTTTGGGAAGGATTTGTGTTAACTTTTCTTTGAATTCTTGGGAGAATTCTGTAACAAAGCCATCTGCTTCAGTCTTTTTCTCTGCTGGGAAGTTTTGGATTACTGATTCAGTCTTCTTACATGCAATAAATCTCTTCAATTTCCTATTTCTTCTTGAGTCACTTTGAGCATTTTATGTCTTTAGGAATTTGTCTCATCTAGGTTACCTGATTTGTTGGCTATATTTATTCATACTGTTCTCTTGTAATCCTTTTTATGTCTGTGATGTAGATAGTAATGTCCCACTTAGCTTTTTTGATTTTAGTTGTTTGTATCTTCTCTTTTTGTCAGTAAAAGCTACCGTTTTGTCAATTTTGTTGATTATTTTAGGAACTTTAAAGGTTAAGTTTTCTGATATGTGAGTTCTACCTTTGGAACTGAGTCCCTGAGCACAAAGGTCCATGGTGTCCTCAGGCTGCAGGATATAGGGTAGGAGTGGATCCTGGGGACAGGTTGTCATGATGCTGAGCAAGGGAACCTCTCAGCAGAGGGATGCAAGTAGCCTTCTCGGAATTCAAGTGTCTTTCATACTAGTATCTGTTCACTTCTGAAAGGGGTGTTGACCCAGCATGCTGGAGGTGTGGGGGGTGAGGGGTGCTAGGAGTGACAAACAGGCTGATAATACTCAAGGTAAAAGGCTGCCTTCCCAGTCCATCCATGTGAACATCTCAGTCCCTGCCTCTGCTGTTTGCTGTTTTAAGAGGAGACCACAGTCTAATTCACGAAGCCCTGTGAGCGCAGCCACTGTGTGAGGGTCCTCAGCTGTGCTTAGAAATCGGGGGAACAGAAAGAAAGACAGTGAGCGTGCAGCCCGAGGAGAAGATGGAAGGCAGACGTGGGAAGGTGGAAGGAAGGAAGAGCACATGTGCGGGTGAGACAGAGCGGGGCAGCCCACCTAAGAGGCCGGAGTGGCAGCTGTGAGAGCGGGGACGAGGTCGAGAGCAGCCCCGGTGAACATCGGAGGTGGGGGCAGGCCTCGGCCCCTGGGCAGCCTCCAGCGGGGCCGTCGAGTCAGGCAGCCAGGCACTGAGGACCGCTCAGGCTTCCCCATCTCCACGGGCCGTTCTAAAAACTGACAGCCTCAGCAGATGGTTCTGCCCCTGTGGGGCCACAGGCTGGTGTTTGCTGGCCCTGTCCCTCCAGAGTCGGCAGCCTGAGCGCGGGCCATCCCTGCGCGGATGCGGCAGCCTGGGGAGAGGAGGGCTGGATCTGACTGAGGGTGGGCTTGGCCTCAGCGTTTATCATCTCAGAGAGAAGACCTTCTGGTGAAGGGATGACGCCCGGAGGTCCTTTGATGGAGGCAGGCTCCCACACACCCTGCTCATGGGGACAGGACCTGTGCCGAGCCTTTTGCTCCATCCTCAACCAAGAGGGAGGCGGTGGGTCCTCCCTGAGACAGGCTCCCAGCTGAGCCCCCAACCAGGCTCAGTGGGTCACCTGAGCTTAGCTGCTGCTTGGTGACCGGAGGCCCAAGTCCTGTCCTGGAGCAAGAGGGCCGAGTGCAGGGCCAAGTTGGAGAGCTGGGGGGAGGTGTGGGGCTGGGCCCGGGCGTTGCGACCATCACCACATAGACCCCCATTCAGACTGTGGCAGCCATAGGGGCAGAGCGCTCTGCGGGGAGAAGCCCCCAGATGGGGTGGGGGGTCTCAGAGAGGGCCAGCCTGTCAGGCAGAGGTTTCCATGGGGCGGCGGCTCGAGAGCGGGTGGGAAGAACCGACCTTAAATTTCCAGTCTCCTAGAGGGTCAGTGCCCGGGCCACACTCTGCCCACTTCTCTTGCAAGCAGGCCGCCCCTTCCTGTGTTCTGAGAATACCTCTGCCCCTGCCTTGAGCTGACTCCTGGTTTTAGAAGGTGAACCTAGGACCCTGTGCAGCGGCCTGTGCCTGATAGAAATTCAGTTCCCAACCTCCATCTGAGTTTCTTGTCGAGGAGGGCGGACCCTCACCCACCAGGACCCGCAGGACTCAGTTGCCTGTCCCAGAAGGGGTGAGCCAAGCCACCACCTCATGTCCCTGCCCCCCTGACCTCCCCATCAACAGCTGACTGTCCTGACACTGGACAGAGGCAGCCTTGGTTGGAGGAGACACACGTGTCTGGGCCTTTCTTTTGCATCAGGTCGACAGTGTGTCCAGCACTGGGGGGCCAGCCTGAGCCCCCTGCCAGCCTGTGTGTGACCAGGAGCAGCCTGGAGTCGAGCAGAGGCAGGAGAGATGGCCCTGAGTGTTGTGAGCACTGCGAGCTCCCAGTGCAAAGGCCCTGCGGCCCCATGTGGCTGGTGGGCGAGCAGGGGAGGGCCACGGTGACGGGTGGAGACCCCAGGTTCAGGCTCAGTGAGGTGGGCCCTAGGATGGCTTTGCAGGAGGGTGGGGTCTGACTGTCCTTGACAGGAGGGTATGGGTCTCAGGACAGGCTCTGAAGGTAGGGGTGGGGCTGCTTCTGACCAGTGGGGACCACTCAGGGACCCGAGCCTCTGGAGGCATGGGCAGGTCTGATGGGGCCCTTGATTTGTTAGTGGGCCATGCACCCACCCTGACTGCATCTGGGATGTCCCCTGGGGCAAGAGGATGCCGCCGGTTCCTGGGCCACCTTTCTGCTGTCACTCCTGTCGGTGGCTCCACCCGTGGCTCTGCCCAGCCTGCAAGTCTGAGCATCACCGTCTGTGTGTGTCCTAAGAGGTCCCAGGAGTCTTGGGACCAGCATGGCTGGACCGAGGCCAAGAGAAGAGCCCACACCAGGGGTGCCGAGTCCTGCAGCCTCCCCAGCCTGATCCCTGGGTGGCGCTGCGCCCAGAGTGTGGTGGGCAGGGCTGGCAGGGCGGGGACCCACCACGGCTCCTGGCAAGGAGGCCACCTGTGGTTCTGGGGCTAGGGGGTCACCCCGAGCCAAGACAGTGTCTCTTCAGGCCCCCTGCCCGTCCTGGGCCCCACAGGGGCACCCCTGGTGCTCCCACCCACTGGCAAGGTCCCCAGGACAGCCCCCTGGGAAGGGCCCAGGCACGGCGGGCCAGCAGTATCTCCGTGTAGCCGTCATGGGCAGACGCGCTGGCTCCAGGCTCCGTGTCTGAGGCCCCGTCTGTCCCGTGGTAGACACAGGGCGCCTGTTTGCCTGCGAGCAGAACACGGCCTCTCTGTTGGCACCTGGGCCGGCCGGCCCCCAGGCGGGCGGGGGGGCTCTGCACAGACTCACGCTTGTGCCCACCTCAGTCTGGCCTCCTGGCCCAGACCAGCTTGTTCTCGCGGGGACCCTCCGCGTTGCGGCAGGCGCTGTGGATGGCTGGGGGGGCAGGTGTCCACTCACTGCTGACGTCAGGCTGTGGAGGTTCTGGGCTGCAGCCCAGGAGGGTCGCCAAGCAACACACCATTAATCCAGTTCCACCTGAAGCGAGCAGGCCACAGATCGGCTGCCCTGGGGAACCCCGCACCCCAGCACCTGGGCCAGGGCTGACCGCTCTGCTGTGCCCCCCTCCCAGGTCAGGGTCAGGGAGCAGGAGGCTCCAGCATGAGACCGGATGCGTGGTCACAGGTTGGGGGAGGACCTCGATCAGGGTTGGTGGGGGTAGCCCACCCAAGGACAGAGGCCCTGTCCGCACCCCTGGGTGTTGGTCACTGCAGGGGAGAGTGGGTGCTGGGGTGTGTGGGCTCTGAGGGAATCCCCAGCTTCTCCCACACAGGCGCCTCCTGCATGCAGTGGGGACCCATTTGGGAGCAGAAAGGAGAGGCGGGGTTTCCTCCCAGCCACACCAGCACACGACGTGCTGGGCTGAGGACCAGCCTGCTGGTGCCAAGGACCCAGAGTGGGTGCTGTGGACACAGCTGGGGGCAGAGGCCATGTGGGCAGGTGGTCCTGGGGCTGACTGGAGCTTCGAGCAGCACTGGGACCATGTCTGGGGGCCTGGTGACTGGGAGCGCAGCCAGGGCGGAGGACTCAGGAGCCCCTGGTGAACCATGACGTGGGGCGCATGGAGACAAGGAAGCACGGACCCCCACCTGGACCAGCAGCCCGTGCTCTCCAGCCCTGCTTCCCCACATGCCCTTGTGGATGGAGACCCTCACTCAGAGCAGCCAGCCGCTGTCCTCCTGCTTTATTTCCCAGCACGAGCCCTGGGCTGCCTCTACTCAGGTTCCGGGTACGGCCACTCCCGGGATGTGAAGTAGCCCCGCAGGTCCTGGAGGTTGAGAGGCGGGAAGTAGGGGCCGAGCCGCCTGCGGATCCACCACTTGCCCTCGGCCGCGTGCCTGCCCCCAGGGCGGCTGAACTTGTACCTGTAGTGCTCTCCTCGGACCCATCTGCAAGGCGAGGGCAGCGGGCAGCCTTGGCCCCTGACGGCCCTGGGTGCAGAGCTGGGCTGTGCCCAGCCAGGAGCAGCCAGAGGCCCAGCCAGTAATGGTGGGTGGCGGGGGG